CCTGAATACTTAATTACATTATTTTTGAACTCAAAACAATAATTGCTGTTAATATTTTTAGTCCATGAATCATCCGAACGTTGTTAAAATTAAATATTCAGTGCGAAAGCCCATTTCTATCGTAATGGAATACGTGTCTGGAGGTTCCTTTCTTGTACTTTTAAAAACCTCCAATTTGACCAATAATAAGCTGTTACATTTCGCCAGTGACATTGCTAGGGTTTGTTTTGTATACTATTTTTCATTGCTGGAGATTATTAATATTTTTTTTTACGATTTCTCAATTAACTTGCATGTAAAGGGCATGGAATACTTAGTGAGTAAACAAATTATACACAGAGATCTGGCAACACGAAACATTTTGTGGGATAAGGAGAAAGACTATGTTAAAATATCCGATTTTGGACTATCACAGTTTGCAAATGCAGATGGTTACTATTGGGGATTTAGCCAACGTGATATTCCCATAAAATGGTATTTATTTAATATGAGAGAATAATATATTTGGTTCAATGTTTTTGAACACGCAATTTTTAGGTATTCGCCAGAGTCCATAGCATACAATAAATTCTCCATGAAATCAGACGTGTGGTCTTATGGTGTGACTATGTTTGAAACGTTTTCGGGCGGAGATATGCCAAATCTGGTTCCCAATCGGGAGCTTAGTCAAGATGAGTTTCTACAGCGACTTCAACTGGGTGAAAGGTATGTATAAACATTGATTAGTATTTAGATACTAAAGTCTTTTTCCTTTTGCTTGCTAGGCTCAAAAAACCAGATTTGTGTCCACAAATCGTATACGACAAACTTATGCTGCCATGCTGGCAAGCTGATCCAAAGGCGCGGCCTACTTTTACGGCGTTGCTTGACTCTATTCGGTCAATTATGTTCGAAGGGGCAGCCATTTAACGTGCAAAATTTAAAAAAAAAATTATTACGGTAAAGCTATAATATAGTGCGTTCTAGTATTCGCGAGAAAATGACTCAATTGCACTCTATCGCCCAAAATCATATAAACTAAAATATATTTGAAATGCTCTATAAACTGAAAAATAGTATTAACCTGTCACTTTATAAAGCCTTTTAAATTTATTTTATTTTGAATGAATGAGGCCATACTTAAACGTAATAGTACACATAGAACGTTTTTATTACTTTCTTTTGGCAGCATATGTATGTATATCGTTATCATCAAAAACAAAAGGCCCTACCTATTTGATATGATTTCAGAAATCAGATTTCAAAATATTTCCTTAGTTGGCTATATATCTTGGCTATGGTCAGATATACCCCTTCACCAAAATTTATGCTGTGTGTGGAAATTTAAAATGTTTTTTGTAAAGTTGTAAATCTATAAGTTTTATTATAGATACAAAAAGACCCTTTCAAAGCGAAGCATACAACTTTGCTTCTTTCATTTCTTGAACCATCCCATTTTCTCCTAACTAAAATTATCATAGACTTCCTTTGATTTCGAATTGCGATTATATATTGCTGCCGCAGAACTTATTGGACTTTCACTGCAAAGAAATAGGCAGACAAACTATTTTTGGAAACTATTCGTTTTTAATTGTACTTGTTTCCTGTATATCAAAATAAAAGTTTTCATAAAATGTGAACTTGGCAACTTTTCACTCTAGGCTGCCGAAATATGTACACATGTACGTGCATATATCTGTATGTTTGAAAGTAATCACTGGCCTTGGTTAGCAATTCGAAAATGATTGGAAATGAATATTTTTTCGTGTCTAACCTTCGATAACGAATGTAGGATAGGTTAGTATTCGATTCGAGAACTATGCCATTCTCCAGCAAAACGGAACCTTCGTTATCCAATGTATTTTCCCTTCGTTATGAATTCGAAATCCAGCCCATTCTCGAATTTAAATTTTAATGAGATTGGTTTAAATTTTTTTTCGAACCCATTTCGAGTGTATTTCCAATATACTATGAACGTTGGAAAACTAAGGTTGGGTTTGAGTTCGTTCTCAGTAAGATATGCATATTGGGTACATATGTATGTGCATACAAATACATTTCGCTGTTTTATGTATTCCCCAAAGAATTTTTGGGGAGTGTTGCTGGAGTGACAGTCATTGGCCAAATATAAATCTGGGCCGTAACCGGTACTTAGGCCCGACTGTCGTGGGAACGAATACATATCGCTCATTTACTTCAATAGGGTCATAATCCAAAAAATACAAAAATTAAGTTAAACATGCAGAAATTACCGCTACCCCTTATTCTATGCTGTAGCTGCATGGATTACCAGTATCTCACTAGAATAAAATGTGTATTCATGTAAATTCAAAACTTTAAAGCAGTTTTTCTCGATTTTTGCTGTTTTGAGTTGTGAAAATATTGAAGTGAGGGCCTGTGCCAATCGGTAGAAAAGGTGAAAAAACTTTACTCTGGTGAGACAATTTTACATTTCAGCTGCCAATTCGTAACTTTTTACTGCTAGAAATTTTTGACAGTCGCTAATAATTATTGAGATAAATATTTTTAAATCTTCAAAGACGTTTATTTTGTAACTTATATTATAAAAGTCGTTTCATAATAATTATGAGTGCGAAAAAATTTTTTAAGTCTTAAAAGACGGGGTTTGGGGATTAGTTGGAGACCAGCTCGGGGCTAATTGGGGACCAGTTTGGGAATATTTGGGGAGTAGTTTGGGACCAGTTGGGGCTTAATTTGGGACAAGTTTGGGACTATATATATAATATATACCCAACTACTCCCGAACTGGTCCCCAACTAGCCCCGAAATGGTCCCGAACTAGACCCGAAATTGTCCTGAACAAACCCCGTCCTTTACGACTTAAACAATTTTGTTCCTCGAACGCTTGATATAGGCAGCGTCACCCAAATTTTCGCGTAAACGTGAAAAGTAACACTGCCGTATTAATTGCAGCTCGAATACACCCTAAGTCCTTATATTTTATTTTTCGTTTCTTACTTGGGAACAACGCCGATTTATTAAGAACTGCCATGATTTTCTTACTATTACAGAAGTTTTTCTTTTTATGAAAAATTTTAAAACTTTGATTTCCCAATGAAATAATGCGCACTTTTTCCTACTTTCTACAGAAAATCTCACGGACCATATGAAATTTACAAATGCAAGTAATTTACTTTGTCTATTAAATATGGTACTTGCACCTCGGCCCAGCCAATTTATGTACATACATACATATTAATTAATTTACTTATAAGTTTTTAAGTCAAAACTGAAAAGGAAATTAGGTGTTACTTTGGTATATATACGTATTATATGTAGGTAGTTAAGATTTGCATTTTTAGAAAAGTGTAAGTAAGTGCATTCATATATGAGACCATGAGAGCAGAAGTGGCCTAGCCCAAAAATTTTTTTTTGTATGCTCCCCTACTTACAATAGTCTCAAACCAGATAAATTTTAAAATTTAAGTCACCTATTCTTTTATTTTAAGGCAAAGGGCTTCATCAAATAAAGGAATAAGCGAGCTTTATTTTAAAATGTATCACATTTGAAACTATTTAAAGAAGTTACGTTACCTACAAGAAAAAAAATTCCAGGTTAGGCCACTTTTGCTCTCATTGCCTCAATATGTATGTATACGTATGTACAATGTTGTGTCTTAGTTTATTTAGAATTCATATGGTTATATTTACGTTACAATTATACCAGAACTTTGTTTTAGAGTAAAGTATATTTTAAGAACGCCATATCTAAGCTTTTGTGAATTTTTCCTTCGATTAAAATTAAAATGTTTGGAATAAAACCTTCACGAGTATAAATACAATTCTTTTGTAATTTAGTTGGAACCGTACATTAGACTGGGTCGACTTTGTATGGGAGAAAATACAAGTTTTTGATGATGTTTTGCACGTTCACACCTGTATGCTTATCTGATGATGAGGTTATGTCGTTATATTTTTTATTCAGTGTACAACAATAAAATACACCACAGAATAATAATTTTCAACCAGTCAACCTGACAGTCTCCCGAGGCAGACGAAGCTCTGTTTCGCCAACATCAGGTGGTTTTGTGTCCAGAACGGCATTCATAGGCCGGGAGACTTCGTAACTTGCGACCGACTCCCTGTGAATGCCGCTCAAGGCCTGTCGATATGCTGCCGGGACCAGAGATTGCTTTATGAACCTCTTCGGGCAATATTAGAATAGTAATGTTTAGCTTCCTTTCAAAAAAAAAAAAATATATATATATATATATATGCATATATTCACGGTAATTAATTTCACTAATGTTCGATGGGCTATAAAACTTGTAAATTTGTACGGAAATTTATTGAATTTTCATGTGTTTTGCACAAATTTTAGACATTTAATTTTTGTTGTGGTATGAACTAAATTTATTTAAAAAATTATTGAAAAGGAATTAAAATAAAAAACTACATACATTAGCTGTTTGTTTACAAATTATCGAGTAACTGGCCAGCTACTCTCCAGTAACTCAATTTCTAAGAATTCGCTCTCAGAAAAAATATCCAAAAAAGTACGCGATCGCAAATCTAGTAAAAGTTTGCAAGTTTCATGAACAGCTGATAAATTGGTTGTTTATTCGCAGCAAATTCCTAATAAAACAATATATTTTATATTTAAATAGGTTTATTTCGTCAATTTCAACCATAAAAACCCACAAACAGTTTCCTTATTAGTTTAAACTCTATCCTTCAACATGCGACCCGCTGTTTTTCGTACTGGCAAATTGTTAAAAGCAAAAATAACTTAATTTCTAAGAATTCGCTCTCATAAAAAAATATCCAAAAAAGTACGCGTACGTGAATCCAGTAATAGTGTGCAGGTATCATGAACAGCTGATAAATTGGTTGCTTATTCGCAGCTAATCAAGACTTGACGTGTCTGAAAGGGGTCTTAGTGGATATTTTTTGCTGGAGAATTCGAAAACACAACTATTGTGAAAAATTCTCTGTACGTAAACTTTTGTGGTTGACTGTTTGTGATTAAATATAATGCCCTTTTGCGTTAGCCCCTCCACAACATGAGCACGAATCCTATCTATGCAGATTGGAATAACTGTTTCATCCCCACAACCCCCCGCACCCCTTTCCTTATTGTTTTTTTATGAAGATCCCTCGGCGTTCTTCTTTTTCAGTACCTCCATGACACCCGCAAAATTTGCAATTTTCTTTTTCGTAGATTTTGGCGTCGAATTTTGACTTCTTACTCGCATTTGAGGCTGGGCTATATCGTCGCTAAAGTCAAAATCATTTTTAGCGGCCGGCCTAAAAAAAAACTTATTTAGTGAACACTTCATGTACATTGTATATTTCCTAGCTTTGCTGCTAGCTTACTCTGTTTCAGCATTTGTAGTTGTGGCAGGTTCGATTTTGGACGTTGACCCAGTAGTTTCCGTATTTATTGTTTGGCGGCCGGGAAATTGCCACTGTAGCTCCGGAATAGTGCCTTTCTCCAGCATCAAATAGAGGCTTTCCAATTCCTCTGCTCCTGGTATGAAGTATTCTTCATTATTCGAGTTATGACACTCCGGATCATTGGTATCTTCGCCCGTCATGTGTTGATGCTATAACCTAGAATGTCCTCAAAATATAAGTTATAGGTATTGTGACGAACTTTTTTTAAGTAGCTGATATCAAGGCGAATTAAATTTAATTAATAATTTATTAAATTCTTCTTAGCTGATATGTTTTTTGTGTAAATAAATAATAGAGATGCGCGGCGCTAACCGATGCATCGGATACATCGATGTTTCCAATAATAGTGGCAAACTATCATTACTATCGATGGTTTTGTTTTTTTCACTATCGATAGTTTTTCAAAACTATGCATTTTCACTATCGAAAATTTTCCAAATTTAAAACACAAAAACTGTGAATGCGCATTGTATAACGGGCTGTTTTTACCGCATTTAGCTATAAACATATTTACGTATTCTGCTTTCTAAAAACAATTATCTTTATTTAAGAAACATAGCATGGCAACATTTTTGGGTTTTAGTTGCGACCTTTTTTCGTCATGGTTCCGATTCAACTGATGACGTCAGGGCAACATAGTAGTTCTTTTATATAAAAGTATTACCGTTTTATCAGCGTTTTTACTGCAATTAAAATGCTACATTTAGCCCTTTCGAACATTTTTTTCGTTCATGCTATCGCATTTAGCAAGTGTACATTTACGCGAGTTCGAAATCGTATGCTCATACCGTATTCGATGTTGAATTCGAGCAACTGTTCTTTTTCCAAATAATGAACAAACACATGATTTTGACGTAATGCTCTCATATATGAATTCGCCTTGGTAGAGAAACGAGCTACAGATATCTGTCCCCGGTATTACTCTCCCGAATTTCACATCAACCAGCGTAATCTTGTATTCTACCGGTCTTGTAGTTAACCACAAAAACTTCACTATGTGGCAGCACCACAATAAGCTGTCAGCTCGCAGCAACCACAGCCAACATCAACTGTCGTATTCATTTTTATATCCGAGCTCACTTGTGCACAAGGGTATTACAACTTTGTTCACATAACGGTTGTTTGTAACAGGCAAAACGATTCGAGATAGATATAGACAAATATATACATAAATGATCGGAATTAAAAAAGAAATCGATTAAGCGGTGTCTGTCTGTCCGTCCGTCCGTTCAAATCCACCCCTGCTTACCACGGAAAGGTGGAAAAACTATATAGAATACTTGCGCCGGGTATTGTAATGTTCGGCTCCTCCTGGACATAGACTGTTTTACTTGTTATATATATGTAGATTAGTCTTTTTAACCGAGAGAAGACACAAGCTCTAGTTTGCTAGTATTCGGTTCTGACAGTCTGTCATTCGCAATTTGTCTTTTACTTTGTCGTGTATTTTAATTTGTTAAATGTAACCAGTTCAGTACTTATTGTTAATTAAACTTCAAATTAAAAGTAACTTAGCTTTTTTACGTATATTTTTTAATTTAAGTAAGTGTTTTTAAATTGAAAAATAAATAGGCAAATTTGTAGGGAGAATTTTATGTGCGTGTAGGGAAAAAAGGGAATTTTAAAGACCGAAGTAGGAAATTCCGAAAAAAAACTCTGGTATCACTGACTGTGGTGCTTGTCGATCAGCTGTATTGCGACCTGACGTTTTACTAACATTTTTAATAAATCAGATAAGGTAATTTGTTTATTTTCACGGTTAATTTTATTATACTACTACTCATATTTTTACATTTCTCATAAGATGATTCGTATCCAGCTGTTGCAGTTACTGGCGACAACAGCCATTTTTAGTATTGCGTATAGCTACGAGAAGGAAATGACGGTTTATATAGACGCTGGCAGAAACGAGTGCTTCTATCATCCTGTCCGCAATAGTGAAACCATCGATATAGAATACCAAGTAATTGACGGGGGCCATGGAGACTTAGATATAAGTTTCTCATTGCTTGATCCGATAGGATTAGTAATTGTCAGTGACTATAAAAAGCCCGAAAACATACATCGGCATGAAGCAAACAAGGCAGGTGACTATCGTTTCTGTTTCGATAATACATTCAGTTCGTATAATCGCAAAACTGTGTTCTTTGAATTAATCATTGAGCAAGAAGGAAAATCAGCTTTTGATGATGATTGGGATACGGCTTCTACTGCCAAAACAGCAGAAGAATTGTATGACATTCAAGTACATGAAATTTTGGAATATGTCGGTCGGGTCCACATGCAGATGGCAAGGGCTCATCAAATTCTTAATATGTTAAGATCAAACGAAGCTCGCGATCGCAACTTGGCGGAGGCGAATTACTCTAAAGTTAATTTGTGGTCACTATTCCAGATTTGTTCTATGATTTCAGTCGGATTGCTGCAGGTATTTATGGTTCGAAGCATTTTCGACACTAACACGCGTATGAGTTCATTTTGGAAAAAAATGGGATTGTGATACGCATTTAATCTCAGAGAACCCGTGACACATGTAAAGTTCTGTAGTAGAAGTGCAGTTTTTCGCCATTTTCCCCGTTTAAAGCCAAAGAAAATTATTTCGAAAGATGTAAAGAAATATCATATGAAATGTAGAATACTCAAAACATATGTAAATTTCATGTAATTAATTAAGTGATCTCGAAACCCAGTCATCTTTGAAATACTATTTTGCTATGTCGCAGCATTAAATAATTTGCCATATTACAAATAAGTCATAATTTTAAGTACTTTTGGGTTTAAAAACTTCGCGAAACATTTATCTTTTTAACNTTGAAATACTATTTTGCTATGTCGCAGCATTAAATAATTTGCCATATTACGAATAAGTCATAATTTTAAGTACTTTTGGGTTTAAAACTTCGCGAAACATTTATCTTTTTAATAAGTGGAATTATATTTTCTCTTTTAAAAGTTATCTCGAAAAGTCCTTAAGAAATACATTGCTTACAACAATAAAACCAAAGTTTATGCTTGAGCCACCTTTCGTTGTTCCCTAAGCATTTTAAATGACACGCCAGGATCTTTGTGCGAACTGCGCGGGAATCGCTTTACTTTCTTTGATTTCTGTTTTCCAGTAGCAACACTTACTGGCAAAATGTTGCGTTTTTGGAAGTTTTTAAATCGGTCGACCAACAAACTGGATTCTGGTTTTACATTTCGTAAATTTCCCGCAATGTCCTCTGGCATATTAATGTCTGTGTCTGGATCAACGTATTTAAGGCTTCCTAAACGCTTGGTTTCGAATTTTTTCTTCAACTCTGCCTTCTTGCGATGTTTCTTCAAAGCATTCAGCTGTTCTTCTTCTGCTAGGACTTCAGCTTTAATTGACTTTATCCTAAAAGGAAGATAGTTTTTAGTATAACTACAACGAAATGAATATTTTNTGTCTGTGTCTGGATCAACGTATTTAAGGCTTCCTAAACGCTTGGTTTCGAATTTTTTCTTCAACTCTGCCTTCTTGCGATGTTTCTTCAAAGCATTCAGCTGTTCTTCTTCTGCTATGACTTCAGCTTTAATTGACTTTATCCTAAAAGGAAGATAGTTTTTAGTATAACTACAACGAAATGAATATTTAATTCGCACCTATTTAAATCTGCGATTTGCTTTTTAAGGGCCTTTTTCTCTATTTGTTTTTTCTTTAATTCTTTTTGTTGCAACTCTTTTCGACGTGACTGTTTACTCCTCTTTTTATTCTCAACCGGTGGATTAATGCTTTTGTATGCGTCGCCATCTAATTGATCAATTCCTTCGATATCTTTTTCATCAAAATCTTCATCCTCTAAACCAGAACGCATTTCTTCCAATCGACGTCTATCGCGTTCCTCTGGTGTGACTTTCGAAAACATTAGAGTAGTAACGCGTTTTAAATGATTCTCCACTTTAATAATTTTTTCTTCGCGATCTGCTACCTCTTTTATCAGCGCTTGGTGATCCTCTAAGGAGGGGTTGTAACTCATGCCCGGATGAGGAGCTTCGAATTTCCTACAATTACAGATGAAGAAATTAATATTTCATAAAAGTTTACCACTCACTTTGCTTTGGTTGTGCGATGGCGTATGCTGTCGTGCACTTTTATAACAGGTTTGCCCACATTTTTTGTCACATGCAATGCTAATTCTTTGCTTATCCAACCCTTCTCATCCTTCAAACCAGGGATTTTGTCACGAAAGTCTTCTTCAGCCCATATATCTTTTGCAGTTTTAGTGCTCTGTCCTTCTTTGCTTAGCTTTTTTTCAAGAGCTTGATAGTATCGTTCTCTATCTTTATTGGCCTGAAAGTGTCGAGGCTTAGTAGGGTTAAGAACTTCCTCTTCAATAACCCGACCATTCTTCTTTTGCCGAACACGATTCCTTCAATATGATAAATGGTTTGACGTGTTAAAGCTTTTTTTACTCTATTTTCTAGGAAAACATCATGATGCAATTATTGCATCATGGGAAAACATACCTTTTTACAATTGGATCCTGGACTTTGGAAGTGTTGTTTAAAGCCTCCAAAGAACGTAAAGGCTTTTTAGCATTTAATTTTCGTTTCTGCTTTTCTGTAATAACAACCTGTTTATGTTTTAATGGTGTTGCATCCACCATAAACAGCTCATCATCTTCTTTTTCTGCGAATGAACTATACAATAATAATTAAAAATGTTTCCTCTTTAGAACATATGAAAACTTACCCAACGCGTTCTTCCTGTCGTTGGTCTTCCAAATACTCTTCTACATCTTTAATATCAGTTTTACGCCATGCTGATTTGTTTTTCTTCGAAACACGTTTTTTCTTTACTACAGACATTTTTCATTTCAGTGGGTAATTGCAATTCACCTGGGTGGGAAATATAAATGAGTGTAAGTAGAGCTGCAAAAAAGTCGATGATAAAATCGATGTAACGATGGTTTTGCAATTTTTATCGCCTT